TTTGCGCATTTGTCCGGCGACATTCATTACACTATTACAATAGCAGCCAATACTTATCTTGCGGTTTAGATACACGCTGAGAAAAACAAAGTAGAACATAGCCTTCATTAATAAAAAATACAGTACAATTCATTTATAAATAATTTAAAAAATAACTATTCTTAAATTAATAGTAAAAATATTTTTTATTGATAAATGGTCCGTCGTGGACATGCAACGAAATACTTGTGCTAGAGATTGAGCAAAATCCAGTTTCCTGACCATACGCAAGGACTTTGGTGAAGGGCCATTCCAACTTATCTTAAAATGAAAATATCATGAAGCCATTTCGTCAGACAGACATTTCGTCGTGCTAGGACCAACCATCTTTTTCGTACGTCGGATTTTCGAGGTACATCAGTAAATAGTTTATTTGGGGTAGTTATAGAAGTATTCCTACATTGAGGTACTACACACCAACGATATGTTTTCCGTTCCATAATGACTTCAAACTTCACAAAAACTTTAAAATAACACCTTGCCCTTGATTTCGTAGCTTGTTTACCTACAAATGACGTCACGCGTTCAATTTGACATTTTGTTACGTTTGCGCGCCAATTTGTTTCTATTTAAATTTTAACATAGTTTTAGCACATTTTAGAGACTATTAAGCTTTATTTTAATAAAATATTATTTTTCATGGCTGTACATATCTATTTTAGTTAATTCTAGACACTTTCTAAAAAATTGTCCGATTCCCTATTGGTAATTCCTTTGATTTCTTTTGGACCTTTCAAATAAAAGTCACACGAGTGCCTTCTTACACCGGAAGCGTGTAGACAGCCAAGCAAGACCTTTGTTAAACAGCAGTTTCAAATGTTTCATAGTTCGCAACTGTACTTAAGGTATTCGTCTATGACATTGTCTTTTCGATATTTGTATTAATAATTATAACAAACTAGTGGAGTAATTTCACAAAAAATATTGAATATCATGATGATAAAACATCGGGACATTCAATAAACTTCATATTTACAACATCCCTTTTCTTAGGTTTTTCATTAAAACTCCCGACTTCTGTACTAAGTTTGTAATTTCGTCGGGGATAGCGCAATTATGCGCAACTAGCATTGGATTATGAGTTTCCATTTCGGTAATTTAGTGGAAAAATTAATTAAATAATAAACATATATTATGTCGTGGCAATCAAGTTCGCGTGATTTACGGAAATCTATTGTCATCAGTCCGTAGACAACATAAATTAATGCTTACTGTGCGAAAACTCGTAACCATTGAAATAACAAAGGAATAACGTTAAATCCCTCTCCTGTAAAATTTGGTTTGGTGCAGGGCTACTATATCGATCTCCGTCCGACATCCGTCCGAAACAATTACTGTCAAATAAGTAATATTCGACAAAATTAAAAGACAAGTATCCAGTATGAAGCTTCATTCGCATCACGCGTCTTTTCATTTGGTCAAGTATTGCTTATTTGGCAGTAATTGTTTCGGACGGATGTCGGACGGATATCGGACGGAGATCGAGAGTAGACCCCCAGATACGCGCCTTTTACCAATGCTACATGCGCGGATTTGCACTATATTATAGAGTTTAAAGAATTAAATTGCTGAACTTAAGTACAGGCCACTTTTAAGATAAATAAAATATTCAACAAGAAAAACAATTTGGAGCCCATGAAACAGTCGAAAATGTGTTCCAAGGAAAACCTGATTGAAGATTGGATGGATTGGATTACTGCAACGGCGTATTGCAGGAGTGTATTGGTAACTATGGTGTATAAGTTTCTAAAACATGTGTTAATATGTGATAATAAATCCAATTGAGGTAAAAGTATGAATTTACTTTTACCTCAACTTTATTATATTTATCATTTTATATACCGTAATAATACCGTAAGATGCATTAGTAAATGCATCTTGTAATGATTATCATTAGTAAATGATTCATAATGGGCATGTTCACTTGACTGTAAAATCGAAAATTTGAAATTGTCAATCGACATTTAGTAAACAAAATATTGTATTTAGCAACAAACTTCCTGTTAATCATTTATGGGTCATTTTCTCTGTTTTCAAAATAATCACAATTGTGAAAAAGCATATTTGCAGTGTAAGGCATTAAATATCTCACAAAAAATATCATTTGTCCATTTCTCATTAGAAATGAACAAATGATATTGATATTTAAATTTGATTATGCGACACTTTCGAGTAGAAACAGTACAAAAGATTGAAAGACAAAAATTTATATAAATTTTTGTTCATATGTTACTCATTATTATGTAAAAATCTTAGTTTTAGGCAAAGAAAACTTTGTATAAAACATAATGTTTACCTTCTATAATAAAATTCCAGTTGATATTCAAAATTTGTCATTTACAACGTTTAAAACTGTAGTGAAGCAAGAACTTTATACTAAAAATTATTATTATACAGCTTCAAAGTATGTGACAAAAATCCATAGCAGTGACTTGTTTAGCTTTTAGAGATTGTCCCAATCTTTGATATTTGAAACAGCTATTATAAATGATAAATATGTAATGTCTATTAACAAAGAGCAAACCCTGGAGTTTCTTACTCATTACGCTGGGGAATCCGCCTTATGGATTCGTTTAATCATACTGTAATGATTTCAAGTGTAATTAACTTCCCTATGAAATAAAGATACATTTGAAATTGATCAAACAGATTAATAAAGCATGGAATTTTAACACAACATCAATGACTAATTGTCAATAAATTGGTTTTTACACCCTTTTTCTGCAAAATATTGCTATGCAAGTATTACTTGTTTATATAAAATATTACCAATTTGTCATGCAATATTACTGTACATATATTAAAGTGGTTTTCACACCTACAATAATTGTTCACAAAGCCACCTAACTGCTCTGCTATGAGTCAACAGGTCGCCCTACATTTGTCTAAGAAATGTTAATTATAACCCACTTTGTTTCTAACTGTACCCACTGCCCGTAGACAATTCATATGAGGAAATGTGAAAGTGAACAGTTACTATTATCAATGGATAGATCAGGAATTGAAAATAATCGTTATATTGTACAATACTTTGTTTTTGTAAATTGCTATCATTGATTACAGATTTTATCCTCACGTGTCCACATTTTTAACATTTGTATATTTGTCAATATTCAAATTGTTATTACTATTTTACTAGTTATATTGATATCTTATTACATTTTACAATTATTATCGTTGAAATTGAACATAATAACCATCACCGTGTTTAAATTAGTGCATGCCTTATTAAGTCCATGTGAGCACACCCATATGATATTATTAAAAAAACATATTACAACTAGTTTAGTCCATTGAAGTGTAAATGTATAATATACGTATCTATTAACATTATACCCAATAAATAAGAAACTATATACTCATTTCACTACATGTCAATTACAATACAACCTCTTTTCTTATATAAATTAGTTATGAATGTGCATTTTTGGGTTTAAGACATTTTGGCTTCATTCTCTAATAGAGCCAGATCCTGTCAGTAAAGTGGATATGTGTCTCTGGAAAAACCAGTAGGGCTAGAAAGACAGGGCGCGATAGCGGGAGAGCTATAAAGTGCTAGATATTATTAATTTTTTTAATCTTTTTTTTTTTAATGAGACTTTAGCCACCTTGAATGACTATGTCAGCCTCATGGGAGGAATACTGGATTCCCTACTCAAGGGACAAGTTCAAAAACTTGTACAAGTTTAGAGCCCCAATACATACAGGCTCTCTGAGCTAACAATTAATTTGTCCATTGCATAAACTTACATTCCCAAACATTGTACCTCTCAGGGTTACATTACGGTTACATTCCACCAATACATGATACAGATCCCCTATTTTAATAATGCTATTCTCACATAGAGCATACCAATATCTCGCGCACTATGTCGTTCTCGCGCTAGCCCTACTTATGGAGAAGAATCTGCATAGGCTCCCAAAGTCTTTGTGACACCGCCCACTTAGGCAAGATAAAACAAATTTTCAACTCCTAGCACCACAGAAAAATAATTGAAAACTCGTATTTTTCATATTAACTTAACACAAAAACTCACAAGGAAAAAGAAATATAGGATTGTTTGGTAGTGTTTGGAAAATAAGTCGGTCTTTTTGTTTTCATGTCTTAATTTGTTGCATTAAGGTTTAACAATAACATTTCAATTACCAGATACAAGTTGACTATGATTCATTATATGCCACAATTGAATATAGACTATTTGAGAAAATTATCCATACACATAAGTATTCTAACATTTTTAATACTTTATTTTGTAAGTTATGATACTGTGGCAATTAAATGTCTATTCTATTTTCTATTTTTAAAAAGAAGGATGGCTTCTCTTAGAATTTTGCCAATATCTAGTCAGTCATGGGAGCTATACTTTTATTTAATTAAATGTCATATACAACAAAATTCTTTCATATAAAATACAATACTTTCATTGTCACCTCCAGTGATATCAATTGTAGGTCAGAGGTGAGTGAATAATGCAAGAATTGTTCTAAGAAACACTAAAACATGGTAATCCGTCCAGGAAAAATTCAGCACTTTAATTAAAATAAAGACTAGCATGGTACAAGTGTGATTTTCAAAGTTGAAAATGTGATTACTTACCCAATAACTTCAGTTACATCCAAAAAAGCATTATAACAAACACAAAACAATCTATGATTTACACAAACAAATAGCAGCTGATGTCAGGAAATCGACTTGGTAAAAAAACATCAACACGAACACTTTTTTCCGAATCATAAAATCGATGTTCACGAATTTACGAATTTGCGAGACTTAAAGACTGAGTAGGCGACCGACTTGGCACAATTCCATGTTGTAAATACATGCACCGTCTATGCATGCACATGGATAATTAAAACCAATTGTGAATTACTAGTTACGAACGGAGATGCGAACAATGACCCTTACAGCCGCCGCAATCTCGCGCCTCGTTCGCTCTAACTGATAAATTATTTAAACTCACCGTAATCATGACATCACGCGACCAAAAAGCTGTCTTCGAGGCCTAGACCTCTTTTTCCTCCAAACGATTTGCACTCCCAATAACGACTTCAATGAACTTACGAGCAGAAATTATTTATTAAACGAAAAATAACATAATGTCAATGTAAAATGTTTTAGACTGAATAACACGCACTTTTTTCCAGCTAGTTGATATGTTTCTACTTCTACGTTTTAAAACTAATTGAAGGGACAAGTTTCAGTTCATTTATTTGACAACAAAAATCTGTCGAAATAAAATCGCCGACATTAATATGTGGCCATACGGAAAAATCTTTTACTCGACTAACCTAAAATCATTAAAATTGTCGTCGAATATCATTGTTCAATTATATAAAGAGGAGAATTTTCAAAACAAGAAATCACCTGCAAGAAATAATGAAGAAATATAATAATATTGTTTGAAAGTGTATATAATATATGACACTACCTCAATATTGACAGTATTCGTCATTTTTATTGGTTGACATATCAAATATGTTATGCATTGGAGCCTTAGACTATGGAAACTAATTTTTCCATTCTCTAAGATTGGAGCCGTACCGTTGAAATTTAGTGGAAATTTTTTTG